TCGGTGACACCCCACACTGTCACAGCATCCCCAGAGCAGGGGCTCCCTGCACCGGGGACCTCGGTGACACCCCACACTGCCACAGCATCCCCAGAGCAGGGGGTCCCTGCACCGGGGACCTCAGTGACACCCCACACTGCCACAGCATCCCCAGAGCAGGGGCTCCCTGCACCGGGGACCTCGGTGACACCCCACACTGTCACAGCATCCCCAGAGCAGGGGGTCCCTGCACCGGGGACCTCGGTGACACCCCACACTGCCACAGCATCCCCAGAGCAGGGGGTCCCTGCACCGGGGACCTCGGTGACACCCCACACTGTCACAGCATCCCCAGAGCAGGGGCTCCCTGCACCGGGGACCTCGGTGACACCCCACACTGCCACAGCATCCCCAGAGCAGGGGGTCCCTGCACCGGGGACCTCAGTGACACCCCACACTGCCACAGCATCCCCAGAGCAGGGGCTCCCTGCACCGGGGACCTCGGTGACACCCCACACTGCCACAGCATCCCCAGAGCAGGGGCTCCCTGCACCGGGGACCTCGGTGACACCCCACACTGCCACAGCATCCCCAGAGCAGGGAGTCCCTGCACCGGGGACCTCGGTGACACCCCACACTGCCACAGAATCCCGCTGTCCCTGCATCAGGGACCGCGGTGACAGCACACACCACCACAGCATCCCCAGGCTGGATGTCCCCAGGTTAGGGACCTTAGTGACACAGCACACTGCTGCATCGGGGACCCTGGTGACACCACACGCTGCCACAGCACCCCCAGAACAGGATGTGCCCACATTGGGGACCCTGTGCCAGCCACAGGCATCCCTGGTGTAGTATGTCCCCATGCCAGGGACATTAGGACAACATGAACTGCCACAGCAGGATGTCACTATACTGGGGGATCTTGTCACGACAACCCCAAAGCAGGATGTCCCCAAATCGGGGACCACAGTGCCACCCCACAGCATTCCCAAAGCAGGATGTCCCCAAATCAGGGACCTTGTGACACCCCACAGCAATCCCAAAGCAGGATGTCCCCAAATCGGGGACTTTGTGCCACCCCACAGCAATACCAAAGCAGGATGTCCCCAAATTGGGGACCTTGTGCCACCCCACAGCAACCCCAAAGCAGGATGTCCCCAAATCGGGGACCTCGTGGCACCATCCCCAAGTGCTGGGAGGAGCTGGGTGCTGCCCCTCCCACACACGCAGCCAAAAGCTCAACCACACCACACCCCCGGCCACCAAAGCCCTCTCCAAACCCTCCTCCCACCCCATACACCCGTGGGACTCCTCACCTCTGGTGAAACCGCCGACCTCCCGCTCCATCGCCGGCGGGGACACGCAGCCGGGTAACGGGGACGGAACCGAGGGGACCAGCCCCAAGCTAATGCGGTGCCGGGAGTGCGGTGAGGGAGGAAGAACCCAGCAAAAGCTCGACGTGTTGACAGGCCGCCACCGACCGCGGCTCCAACCGCCCCACCGATACGGGGAGAAAAAACTCCCCCGGGCGCAGGCAGATAAGGGTGCCGGCGTTTTGGGAAACAAGGAGGGAACTGCAGCCTGGAGATAAAGGCTCGGCATTTCGGATCCCGCCTCAGCGGGTCCCGTGGGGAAGTGGCACCACCCCCTTCACCCTGCAGGGGGACGGGGATAAACCCCAAATGAGGAGGGGGGTGAAGGCTGGAGAATCTCTGGCCCTGTTGCTGCCGTCTTCAACAATGAATTACCCAAACTGCTTCTAAGAGTCCCTGTGTGGCCCAGCAGCCTGAAAAAATCCCGGTGGGCAGCCCTAAACATCCCCCCAAAAAGCAAGGAGGAGAAATGAGGCCACCAAAAGGCCACGAGGAGGGTCCCCGCGGGAGGTGGCACCCAGCCCCCACCACCCACGGTGCCTCCAGCCGAAAACGGGGCGACGGTTCAGGTACCACGACCGGGGGTGGGAAATCCCCGGCAGCGGCTCCTTCCTCCTCCCTGGCTCAAAGCTCAGTCGGGCAGAACGGAGCAGCCGCCCGAGCCGCCACGGCGCTCGCTCCTCCGCTAACGAGCCCACGCGCTAACGAGCCCGGCCACCATGAGCAGCCACATGGGTTTTCTTCCTCCATCACCAACCGCCATGGGTCACGCTGCTCCTCCGGCACCGGCCCGGCGCCAGCGCCACCCCAAAAACTCCCCTCGTTGGGGGAACACCCCTCCCAGCAATCACTGACCTCCCGGCAGCGGCGTGGACTTTGCCTCGCTCCAAAATCCTACCGGCAGCTGCCAAAGCCGCCCCCAGCTCGTGGCCTGTGGCTCTCAGCAGATACCGGGATAATTCTGCCTCGATGAGGCTGATGGAGGCATCAGAAGAGCCCCAAAACCTTGATGTTGGTGGCACCACAAGCATTTCTGTGAGGGGGGAGGTCCTCCCACCCCACAGGACCCTTAGGCTGGGGTGCCAACCTCCATTGTGGGGCATTTGGGGCCATTTCACGTTGGGTTTTGGAGCTCAGAAGCAGCGACGGGGGCTTACCCAGCCCCTCAGATTGCATCCCCTTAAGTCTGCCCGTGAGCAGATGGCCAAAGCATCCCAGAACCCCAATTGAGCTCCACCACCCATCCAAACCCAGGCTGGACATCCAGATGGGGACGTTCTCCATCTCCTGACATGTTATTTTTTGGGCACCAATTCCCCCTTTAAACACCACCTTTAAACACCCGTGTCCATCCCCTGCAGTTAATTTTCCACCCGTTAAGCACAGTGAAGGAACAGAGAGCTGAAAAGCTTCCCAGATGCAACGTGGTCCTTCCCCGCCCATCTCGTGGTGGTTAAATAACAGTGGGACTCACCAAGCACGTCGCCTGGGCCACGAGATAAGGTTTTGAGTCAACCGGTGGTTGCGGAGATGGGCAAACTCATTATGGGGAAGCAGAGTTGAGGAGGAATCGCAGCCGGCGACTCCACCAGTGTTACCACTTCCAGATGGGGAAAAAGCCACCCTCCAGCCAGGGGACAAGCAACGAGGCAAATCACCCGCCAGTGGTGGGATCAGTGGCCACCACCCTCCTCGTTTTCCAACAAAGACACAAGGATGGGGAAGGACAGGGGGGACGCAAACGCAGAGAGGGGTTCAGGTAGGACTTGGGATGGTAGAGGCACCCAGTTGGCCTTTGGCACTGAAATGAGGGAGAAGTTGAGGTGGGACAGGGTTAATCCTCCAAAGCAGGCAGAAGACCGACACCAGACAACCACGGATCTACAGATGAGTGGACAACTCGCAGCAGCCGCACTCAATAGATAAGGAACTGGCCAGACAGCTGTGTCCGAAGAGTCACAGTCAACATCTCAAGGTCCAGGTGGAAACCAGTAACAAGTGGAGACCCTCAAGGGCCCGTACTGGGAACAACACTATTTAATATCTCCATCAGCAACATGGATTGTGGGATTGAGCACACCCTCAGCACGTTTGTGGGTGACACCAAGGTGAGTTGATACCTTGAGGGAAGGGATGGCATCCAGAAGGACCTTGACAGGCAAGGTGAACTTCATGAAGTTCAACGAGGCCAAATGCAAGGCCCTGCACCTGGATGGGACAAGCCCCAGTACCGCAAACTGGGTGACTGAGAGCAGCTCCATGGAGAAGGACCTGGTAGAGTGGGTCCAGAGGAGGCCACAAAGATGATCCAAGAGCTAGATCACCCTTCCATTGAAGAAAGGCTGATAGAGTTGGGGTTCTCCAGCCTGGAGGAGTGAAGGATCTGGGGAGACCTTCCTGTGGCCTTTCCATATATAAATGGGGCTTATAAGAAAGATGGTGAAAGGCTCCTTCCCAGAATCTGTAGGAGAAGGGACAATGGTTTTGAACTGGAAGAGGATAGGTTTAGACTGGACCTAAGGAAGACATGTTTTATGATGAAGGTGGTGAGACACTGGAGCCTGTTGCCCAGAGAATCTGTGGATGCTCCATCACTGGAAGTGTTCAAGATCAGGTTGCACGGGGCTTTGAGCAACCTCACCTAGCAGAAGATGTCCCTGCCCAGAGCAAGGGGTTGGACTGGTTGATCCCTGAAGGTCCCTTCCTACCCAAACCATTCTGTGAAAACCTCCCTGCTCATCCAAGAGCTCTTTGAGGAGAGTTTTTCCCGGAGCTGAACCAGGGATGGACCCAACAGGATGTCCCATGGGTGACAGAGATCCCCCATGCCATAATGGGACATCCCCCAGCATGCACAGGGGGTTTCCATGCCAAGGACATCCTAGTATAGCTCCGTGTCGGCACTGCTCATCCCCCGGCACCCACCCGGCACCAAGAGGTGGGGCAGAGGACGATGCCTTCGCCCTGCGAGCGCGCGGACACCCTTGGCAGAGCTGGAGGAGCGTTTCGGAGAGTTTCCGTTTCAAGAGGGGAATTCGGCGAAGGCAGGCGCAGGTGGCACGGGTTTCGCTCCGCTCGGCGCAACCGTGGCTTTGCCAGCAATACCGAAAACACGCGGGTCACCACCACCACGGCAAAGCCCCATCTACTTCCTCACCAACCAACACGCGGTGGAGCGTGACCATGGGGACGGCCAAGGCGTTCCCATCTGGGGATGGCCAAGGCGTTCCCATCTGGGGACGCCTTCGGTTTGGGATCCCGACGCTGTGCCGGGGGGACGAGGGTCTCCAAAAAGCCGCCGGCGTGACCCACGGCCGGGTTTTGTGCCTGTCTGTGGTGCTGAAGCCGGGTGGCGGCACGACGGCACAGGGATACCGGCCCGGCATTCGCGCCCTAATTTCTCCTTCCATCAAATCCATGTTTGTCACCGTACCGCGAATCCCATCTCACCACGAGATGCTGAGAGTTGAGGAACGCCTCCAATGACAAGAGAGCAAACGCCCGCCACAAACCGCCCTGGCGCGACGGTACGACCATCAGGCAAACCAGCCGAACCAACCCAGCATCGCCAACCACACGCAAAGCACCAAGAGATGTCCCCGTCCCCCCAAGAAGCCACCCCAACGGCGCCGAGCGGGGACTTACCGGCCACATCGTGCGCTTCCAGGGCAACGTCGGGCTCCGGACGGGACAGCGGCGAGAAGAAGTTGGGGTCCTCTTGCAACGGGTGCAGCTCAGCACCGGAGGGTCCCTTCCCCTCCCGGCTTATCGCCGCCAGATCATCCACGGCGTAGAAAGCATCTTCCTCGAGCTCCGTCTCTGCTTCCACCGACGTCCCAGATAAAGCCAGGTTCTCCAGGGGCTTTTTTGCATCTTGAAGGAAAGCGGCTCTTCGTTCTTCGCCTTGGGGGCACTCAAGGGCAGGAAAAGTCTCTTTGTTTGGCTCCGGTGTCATTAACAGGGCTCTGCCTCCATCTCCTTGGCGCTCTGAGAAATTAGGGACAGCTTTCTCCATCCCTCGCCGATTGTGCTGTGTCACTTGGAAAAAAACACCACGCTGGCACTCGGGAGGGCTGGCGGCCAGGGACTGCCAGAAAAATCTACAAGAAATAAGAGATAAAAAGAGAAGAAAATGAGAAAAGAGGCTGGATTTCACTGAGGTGGAGGAGAAACGGTTGTGGCTCTGCCCGTGCTGGGAAACGCAACAGTCTCGGTGCCTCGACGTGGTCACCAAAGTTCTCGGTGTCCCGCAGCCAGGCAAGACATCAGGTCCCATCACTCTCCCCTTGCTGGGTCCCTGCCAGAGCCGAGGGACCCCAAAAAGCGCTGCTTCTCCCCAATACAAAGCTTTTTTTCCCCCCTTTTCTCTGCACCACAATTTGCCAGGGAAACAGCATCCCCTGCATCCTCTGCCACACACTCCCCCAAAAACCCCCGATCTCCCTCAAATTGATAATTCACCCCTCAGGAAAAATTCAAACCCCACGATGCAGCGCTGGGCAAAGTCCCAGTTTGCACTCCCGGGAGCTCTGCTCTGCCACCGGCTGCCCCAAAATCAGGGTGGCTGCCCCCAAAACCGGGGTGTGGGGGGATTTGGAGATGCCATGCTGCATCCTCCCCCCATGTGAATTCAAGCGGATGCGACGAAGTGGTACCTTCACGCTGGGGAGCCCTCGAAGGGTTTGGGGACCCCTGGGGAACAACCAGGTACCGGCCGCTCAAGTGTGGATCCCCCCCTAAAACAAACCATCACCCCAAACACCTTCCACCAGCCAACGCTGCTGCAGTTGCAGGTTAAATGGTGCAAAATAAAAGCACTGGGAGAAATAAAGGTGCCTGATCTCTGTAGGGCAGAGAGGCCCGGTGGAGAAGGGAAAAATAGGAGGAAAAAGGCGCTAAAAAGCCGGGCTTATCAGCTCTGCTGGAGGATAAAGGCACAGGAGGAGAGCGAAGGAGCTAAATTTACCCGGTGAGGAAGGAGAAGGCAGAGGAGACTATAAATACCTTCAAGGTAAGAATGCAAATGAAGAGAGAATTATTCAAGCTGGCACAAGATGTTTTCCCCACCCCGGGGCTGAGGGAGGAGAGAGATGGAGCAAACCCCAATGCCCGGTGGCCACCCCGAAATGCCACCCTGAAATCTCTCCCGCCCCGAAGCAGCCGCTGCTCGTCCCTTCCCCCGGGGAATGACGCCCGGAGCCAGCGTGGGTTAGTTTGCCAATAAGAAGTGAAAATAGAAATTCAATTAAATAAATTAAAAATATGTTGGCTCCGCACGCTGGTGGCTTTCTTCCGCGAGGATCGGTTGCTCCGGCTGGCTTCGGTTTGTACGGATATTCCGCCGGCGTCGCCCTGAAACGGCACCCGACGCCTGCGCCAGCGGGATGCTCTCGCCCCAAAGAGCAGTGCCGTGTCGACACTTCCTCCAAGCGGGGTTTTTGAGAGGCAAACCCCAAATTGCTGGATGCTTAGGATTTGCCGCGGTGTCAGCTTGGTGCCAGTGGGCGGGGATGAGAGATGCTTTGCCGGGATAAAGCCGCTCGCACCGGCTTACCGGGGAGGGAGGCAGCGGGTCGTGGCATCGTCTTTAACCACCACCTGGCTTAAATCCGGTCGGACACACACGGCGTTCCCCTTCACCACATCTCCCATCGCACCACGGCGGCTCATCCGTCGTGCCGGCAAGGAGCGTCACGGTGCCGGCAGGATGGGAGCCCGGCAGTCGGGCCGGCACTGGCATCTGCCAACGTTCCGTCAAACGGCGAGGAATCGCCCCAAAACGCGTCGCCTCGCTGCAAGGAAATAAAAAGGCACGGCAAGGCGCCGGGTGTGCGGTGGCCATGTGCCAGCAAAGCAGGCCGGGGACAGGCCGCAGCACCTGGGATCCAGAGGGGGAAAAAGCCATCGTGGAGTTTTGCCTTTTTCGTTGCAGCCGCATCTCAGCCCGGTCAGAGACCCTGGCACATCCCCAAGCTGGGGTAGATCCATCTAGGTGAGAGCGGGTGAAAAAATCCGCAAAAAGGGTTTATTTCTGAAAGCTGCGTTTTGGGGGGGGGATGTGGGTTGGATCCGAGCCGACTCCCAGACAGAAGCTGGCGTCTCTCCGGGACCGCTGGCTCCCTTCCCCGGTGATAAATCGCAGCATCCCTTCAGCACCGCTCCCGCCGGCTCGGTCCAAACCTTTACCCACCAAAACGCGTCTCACCGCGACCGGGTCGAAATCCCTGCGCCGGGAATGACGTCAAATCCCCCACCCGCACCCCCGGCATCGCGCTCGGCATCACCAAAACCCCAAACCCACCCAAGCACGAGCCAGCGCAGACAGGGAGGGGGGGACAGCAGTGCTGCATCCCCCCACCTCGCTCACCAAAAAAAAAAGCAATATTTTTCCAAGTTTTCCCTTTTATTCTTCCCAAAACACGGATGCACCCATGTGCCATGCTGGCGGCGCTTCCTAAAAACCCACCATTCTCCCCCAAAACCCACTTGGGTGTTTTCAAGCTTCCTGAGAAAGGGGGAAAAAAAAGCAATTTTTTATTCCCCTCCCCCCCCCCCCAGCTTGCTCCGCACCGACCCCCTAAAAAGACCCAAGCGCTCACCATAAAGTTTAAAAAGCCACTTTCTGAAGCTCTGCTCGCTTCCCTGCTCGCTTCCCAAGCTCTGCTCGCTTCCAGGGTGGGAGCGGGACTGCGGAAACCCTTCCCCCAGCCCATCGCCCCAGAGCCATGCAAAGGCGGAGCAGAATTGGGACAATTTAAATGCTAAACCGGTTAAGTGGGGACAATCGCTGCCTTCCCTGGAAGTCAAGAGGAAGGGGCCTTTCCCCAGGCCAAACGGCTCCCAGCGCCTGCAGTGGGTTACCCTGCGTTTGAGGCAGGATGGTTTTGGCCTCGTGGTTTTTTTCCTTGCGGGTTTTGTTGGGTTTTGTTTTGGTTTGTTTTGGTTTTATTTTCCACGGCGCAAGAGCAGAGCCACAACCCGAGAGAACAGCGGCTGTTCCTTCCCCCTTCACACCGCACCACGACCAAGCGCGCGGGGTCCGGCGCGCTCCCTGCACGCTTCAGCCGGGCAGCCTACGCCTCCGGATTTCAGCCCTGCGTGGCTTTATTGCCTTTTTTTTTTTTTTTCTCTCCATTCCCCTCACTGGCAGAGCAGAACCACAGCGCAGGAGCACGGTGCCGTTCTTCCCCCTTCATATCAGACCATCACCAAGCACGCGGGGTCCGGCACGCTCACAGCACGCTTCAGCTGAGCAACCCACAGCCACGCAGTTTTTTCCCCACATCTTTTTTTTTTTTTTTTTTTTTTTCCCTCCTCCTCGAGAGAAACCTGTAGCAGAGCAAAGCCACGATACAAAACACCACCGATCGGTTGGTTTTTTTTTATCCCCCCTCCACGCTGGGTCACAGCCAAGCGCGTGGGGTCCGGCTCGCTCCACTCAGGCAGGCTGTGGCCCCGTGGGGTTTTTTCCCCCCGCTGCGTGTTTTTCTTTTTTCACCCCTGGGAGAAACACGGGTCAGAGCAGAGCCACAGCACAAGAGGACGGCGCTCGGTTTTCCCCCTCCGCGGCGATTCACGGCCAAGCGCGCGGGGTCCAGCCTGCCCCAGGTGCACTTAAATCAGGAAAGCTACAGCCACGGGATTTTTTCTTGCGTGGATTTTTTCACCCCTGCACAGCAAAACCAGAACCAAGATGCAGAGAACGGTGCCAGATTTTCCTCCTCTGTGCTGGGTCCTGGACAAGCACATGGGGTCCGGCGTGCTCAAGTCAGGCAAGCTACATCTCGAGTGTTTTTTCCCCCCACTCCGTGGGATTTTTTTTTTTTCTCCCTCCCTGGGAGAAACCTGCAGCGGAGCAGAACCTCGATGCAGCAGAACGCCGCTAGCTTTCCCCCCTCCACACCAGGTCGCAGCCCAGCACACAAGATCTGGTTTGCTCCCGGTGCGCTCGAGCCAGGCAAGCCGCAACCACACGTTTTTTCCCTGTGTGGGGATTTTCCCTGCTTGTTTTCTGTTGGGGTTTGGGTTGGTTTTTTTTTTTTTTTTCACCCCCCAGGAGAGACACGGAGCACAGCAGACACACCGCGCAGAAAGGCAGCGCTGGTTTTTCATTTTCCCTCCTCCACAGCCAAGCTCACAGGATCCGGTTCGCTCCAGGTGCGCTTGAGCCCGACACGCTCCAGCTGCCTGCTTTCCCCCCCAAATACGTCGGGGGGTTATTTCCCCCCCCCCCCCCCCCCACATGACAGAGCAGAGCCCCAACGCAGGAGAACGGTGCTAAGTTTTTTCCCCCTCCGTGCCAGCTCACGGCCAAGCTCGCAGGGTCCAGCACACTCCCAGTGCCCTTGAACCAGGCAGGCTCCAGCCGCACATTTTTGTTTTCCCCCCACATGTTTTTTTTTCCCCTTGCTGGCAGAGCAGAGTCGTGATGTAGGAGGCCAGCATCGCTTTTTCCCACTCTGCGCCAGGTCACAGCCAAGTGCACAAGGTCCCGTGCGCTCCCGGTGCGCTTGAACCAAGCAGGCTCCAGCCGCGTGTTTTTTTTCCTCCCCCTCATGTTTTTTTTCTAGGTTTTTTTTTTTTTTTTTTCTTTCTTTGCCCCTTGCTGGCAGAGCAGAGTTGCAATGTAAGATGACGGCACCACTTTTTCCTCCTCCACACCAGGTCACGGCCAAGCTCGCAGGGTCCAGCATGCTCCCAGTGCTCTTAAACCGAGCAAATTCCAGCTACTTGGGTTTTTTTTTTTTTTTAATCCCCCTGCGTGGTTTCTTCTTCCTCGCGTGGCAGCACAGGAGGACGGTGCCGCTCTTTCCTCCTCCATCCCAGGCCAAAACGAAGCGCGCAGCATCCGGCGCGCTCATGCACAAAACTCTTCGTGCCCGCAAAGAAAACGCAGAAGGGGAGCGAGCGCTCCAGATTTCGATGGGAGAGGAATTTGAGGAGGAATTTGGGGAGGATCCGGGAAGCTCCCGGGGCTCAAACCTGGATCCTGAGTGATTTCCAGCCACGGAGAAACCTCAAGTGATCCGCGTTGACATTCCTCCCCAGCATTAATGAGATCGTTTCACAGAAAAGTGGCTTCTTTTTTTTTCCCGCCCCCCCATCCCAGAGCCAGAACAAGCAAAGGACACATCCCCCGGGGGAGTTTTTTTTCCTTTTTTGCTCCAACGGTCACGGCTACACGCCAGCAAATCCTGCGCCGAGGGGTTTTGTCAGGATCCGGGACCTCGCTGGTGCGGGGATCCCCCAGGGAATTCGGCTGCGGGGCCATCAGTGCTGCCGGTGAGATTTGGTGAGACGATTTGTGCACCACCGCCTCTAAACGATGCGCCGGGGACGGAAATCCGGCATCGAGCTGTGCCGGGATGAGCCGAAATCTGCTCCCAGAGGCATCGAGCTGCACCGGGACGAGCTGGAAGCTGCTCCCAGCGACGGCAGCACCGCTCTCGCCTTCGTGCCGTCCAGCGGCAGCACCGGCTTTGCTCCGACCCGCTCCCCGCCATCGAGCTGCTTGGGAAGAGGAAACGATCCCGGCACCGCAGCAACGCGCCAAAACTCACCGCCAAAGCTACGGCTGATCGCCGGCGCGGGGGAAAACACCACGGCACCGCCGCCTCTGCAGCCCCCCGCCAGCTCCAACACCGCTCCGGCCGGCGGAGGAGGGAGATTAAAAGCTCCCAACGGAGATTACGAAGTTGCCCGTCGCCGGATGCTCGTTTAACCCCGATTAACGAGCTCGGCCACCTTCCATCGGCGCCGGAACGGTGCCGGCGAGCGCGGCGGAGGTGAAGCGGCACGGGAAGGGCCGCGGGGAAGCGTTAGCGGGGCTCTGGAGCCGTCCCGTCCCCGCCCGGCACGTTCCCAGCCGCTGGACCCCGAATCCGGCGCCGCTCGGTACCGGGTGTCCCGGTGCTGCCGCCCGGCACCTGCCCTGTACTCACCCCCCTGCCTGCCCCGGCCGTCTGGGTCCCCCCCTCAATTTCCCCCCAGACACCTGGGTCCCCCCCTCAGCACAGACCCCCCCAAATCCCCCCCCCCGACATCCGGGTCCCCCTCAATTCCCCCCCCCAGACACCTGGGTCCCCCCCTTTCCATAGACCCCCCCACTGACACCCACTCATACGCCTGGGTCGCCCCCCTCAGCACAGACCATCCCCAGTGACCCCCCAAATGCCTGGGTCCCCCCGCTTTGTACAGCCCCCTCCTCCCTCCCTACTCCCACCCGGACACCTGGGTCCCCCCCCTTTTGCCCAGACACACCACACCCCCCCGACACCCACTCATACGCCTGGGTCCTCCCTTTTGCACAGACCCCCCCTCTCCAGACACCTGGGTCCCCCCCTTTCCATAGACCCCCCCGATACCCACTCATACGCCTGTGTCCCTCCCCAGCACAGACACCACCCCCCCCCCAAGCGCCCCCAGACACTTGGGTCCCACCATCAGCACAGACCCCCCCAGTGCCCCCCCAAACGCCTCGGTCCCCCTGCTTTGCACAGACCCCCCAGACACCTGGGTCCCCTCCTCAGCACAGACCCCACCACACACCTAGGTGTCCCCCCCCTTTCCACAGACACCCCCCCCCGACACCCACTCACACGCCTCACCACAGACACCCCCCGCCCCAATTCTCCCCCGGCCGCCTGAGTCCCCCCTTTTTGCACAGCCCCCCCTCTCCAGACACCTGGGTCCCCCCCTCAGCACAGCACCCCCCGGGACACCTGGGTGTCACCCCCCCCATGCCCACCCTTGTCCCCCCCCCCCACCGGACTCCTGGGTCCCTTCTCGGTTACCTCAGCCCTTTCTCCCCCCCCGGACACCCGGGTCCCCCCACCCCGCGTTTCAGCACCCCGGACGGGGCCGGTATAAAGTGTGAGGGGGGGGTCAGCGTTGTCTTCCCCCCCCACCCAGACGCGGGTCCCCCGGGAGCGCCTCCGCTTTGTCTCCCCGCCGGGCAAATCCAAACCCGGGCCCCCCCCGCCGCCGCCGCCCCGGGCACTCACCTCGCCGGCCCCCCGGGGCCGGGCCCGCCGGGCTGCTCCTCCTCAACGACGTCGCTGTTGCAACCGCTGCCCCCGCCACCTCCTGCCCGGTTCCGGTCTCCACAGCAAGCGCCTCGCCGGGGACATGGTCCCTTTAAATCCCCCCCCGGGGCCCCGGCCGGTCCCGCCGCCGCCGCCGCCGCCGCCGCCGCCGCCTGCGCCGCTCCGGCCGCTCCCCCGCCCCCCTCCCGGCGGCGGGGCCTGACTACGTCACGCCGAGCGCGACCGGGCCGACATCTTGGGGGCGGCGAACGGGATCCCAGCACCGCCTCCTCCTCCGCCTCCTCCTCCTCCTCTTCCTCCTCTTCCTCCTCCTTCTCCGCCGGTGTCGCCGCCGCCATGTTGTGCCTCCCGCCCCGCCGCCGCCCTCCCCGGCCAGCGGAGCGCGGCGCTGATGACGTCGGCAGCCGGGCGGCGCCGCCATCTTGGGAGTGGCGGAGGGAGAGGGGGGAGGGGGG